AGAGGAGGAGGAGGAGGCGGAAGGACTGCCTCCCTCCTCTTTCCCCCCTCTGAAATTTTGTGGTGTGAAAATTTCCACTATGCTGCCAGACCACCATGAAATTGTAGCGACTCGTGTCGATTCAGGAGTTGCACACTTGTGTAGTCATATAGATTTCGGAGTTGTACACTTGCCTAGACATCTAGATTTTGACTTTGTGTGAGTTGTCAATGATCTCGCACTCGCGGCAGCTAAACCGATACCGTTTCCTGTAGCACACAATCTGATGTCAAAATCAACACTGCTGAACTTGTAGTAAAATGTTGCGAATTAGAGATGAAGTTCGGCGTTGCCGTCATCATGTGTGTTGATGTGGTGGTGTAGTCGTGTCAATGTAGTGATGGCGGTGTTGATGCATGCTACAGCGTCTCTTGGGAGCAATACAATGTTGTCTGGTTTGCATACAAGGCAATCGTGGTAAGGCAGAGCTGGAGTTGGACGGAGTCGGACAAACAATAGAAACGCACGGCGCACGGGTGTTGAGTATAATAATAGGGAGGACAAAAGGCGGAAATGGGATGATAGACCAAAGGGAGCAGGACAAGGGAATAGGGGGCGACGAAAGAGGGGAGGGGGTGATGACGCTCTGTCTGAACCTCCCTCCTCCTCCCTCCCTCCTCCTCTCTCCCTCCCCCCCTCCCCCCCCCATCCTCCTCTTGCCCCGTCTCGATGCTGAGACCAGATGGCCAAGCGAAAGGTGTGAGTGGGATAGGCGGTCAGCCTTCCCCCTCCTCCTCCTGGCCCCACCTCCTCCTCCCCCCTCCTTCTCATCATCCGAATACTCATCCTCACTCTCCACGCCTTCCCCCGCCATGAGTCAGAGAACCTCGGGCCCATGAGGCCCTCTGCCCCCCACTGGGGGTGGAGGAAGAGGATGGGGAGTGGGCTCGCGAAGGGGGCCTGGAGAGGAGGGGAGCGGGAGGGGATGTCGGATAACAGCGCGAGTGCAGGGATGATCGGCCCTCGTCGAAGTAGCCCGTCGCGGGCAGGGGGCGGGCGGCGACGAACGACGATGAGTGACAGGGATGGCAGCCAGCGCGAACGGAGAGGGAGAGAAGAGGATGAGAGGAGGATGGGACGAGTGAGGGGGAAGGGAGTGGAACAGAACGAAACGGAAGATGGATGGCTCAAGGCGGTGACTGAAAGCTAAAAAAAAGGAATGAAATCCTTCAGGGCTCAAGGCGGCGACTGAAAATGGGGCCCCAGGGTGGATTGGGGGGGCTGGAAGGTGAAATCCTGGGAACGAGGATGTTGCTTTTGTTCGACGCGGGGCACGGCGCGAAGTTCACGCTGCGGCACATAAGCCTAAACAGAAATAATGTGAGACGGGCAGAGCCCTGACAGGAGGCAGATCGCCGACAGTCGTCGTCTTCGTCGTCCTTGTCGCTGTCGTCAGTCGCCGTAAAGAACCAGGCGTCTGGGGACGAGGAACTAGGGCACAAAGGGAGTGCGACTGGGGGCGGCCCACGACGAGGGGCCCAGTTAAAAGCGAGCCCACAGCTAGCGCGCGGCGCGCATGCGGGCGGCGGCACCGGGGCCTTCGGCGAAGCTCCATATGGGGCCACGAAGCGTGCGAGGGGTGCGCCGACTTGGGCGTGGGGGGCGCATGCGCGCCGCGGCGCTGGGGCCTTCGGTCGAGCTCCCTATGGGGCCACGAAACGCGCGAGGGGCGTGCGGAATTGGGCGTGGGGGGCGCATGCGGGCGGCGGCACTGGAGCCTTCGGTGGAGCTCCCCATGGATCCCCGCCCCATCATGGGTCCCCGCCCCCCATGTGTTCCCGCCCCCCATGGGTTCCCGCCCCCCGTGGGCCCCCGCCCCATGGGCTTCTGCCCCCCAAGGGTTCCCGACCCCATGAGCTCCCGCCCCCCATGGGCCCCCGCCCCCCATGGGTTCCCGCCCCCCATGGGTTCCCGCCCCCCATGGTGGGCCCCCGCCCCCCCAAGGCCCCCGCGCCCCATGAGCTCCCGCCCCCCATGGGTTCCCGCCACACATGGGCCCCCGCCCCACATGAGCTCCCGCCCCCCATGGGCCCCCGCCCCCCCATGGGCCCCCGCGCCCCATGGATTCCCGCTCCCCATGGGCCCCCGCCCCCCATGAGCTCTGGCCCCCCTATGCGTTCCCGCCCCTTCATGGGCTCCCGCCCCCCATGGGCTCCCGCCCCCCGCGGGCCCCCGCCCTCCATGGGCTCCCGCCTCTCATGGGCCCCCGCCCCCCATGGGTTCCCGCGCCGCATGGGTTCCCGCCCTCCATGAGCTCCCGCCCCCCATGGGCCCCCGCCCCCCATGGGCTCCCGCCCCTCATGCGTTCCCGCCCCCCCTGGGCCCCCGCCCCCCATGAGCTCCCGCACCCAATGGGCCCCCCGCCAGTTCCCGCCCCCCATGAGTTCCCGCCCCCCATGGGTTTCCGCACCCCATGGGCCCCCGCCCCCCATGGGTTCCCGCCCCGCATGGGCCCCCGCCA